TTTCAGAGGAACGAGATACAGGGTATGGGGGAAGAAGGAGCATTGGTGACTGTTGAGGGCTCTGCACTAGCAGAAACTATTGGGCCCTCTCATGAGGAACCTGACCCCTCTCCGGAGGAAATAGGTCATGGTTCTTACTCCTAGGCCGGTTCTGCTCCTGCATTTGATGTTGCGCCCTTGGACATTCAAGTCCCTAAGATGAGGTCTAGTGATGAGGAGGATCCAGATAACCTTGCTCTTGATGCTTTCATAGTCAAGCGAAGGGTGGTTTCCACTCCTGAGTCTTCTACTAAGCGACCTACTACCAGGTTGCAAGTAAAGGTAGCCTATGAGTCTGCCCTTCAGAAGAGCAGAAAAAGCAATAAAAAGAACATGAGGAGATTGGTGAAAGACAATGTTATCGTGTGTGATAAGGTTGTTCCAGTGGTAGAGGTTGAAGAGGAAACAACTGAGGAACCCAGTTCCCTAGTGAGAAGGTCCCAGAAGAAGAAGGAATCTGCTTCCACAGAGCATGTTACAACCCTTAGTTCCAAGTTGAAAGATGTTGTGAGTGAATTCTCCACATCTGATGAGGATGTGTTAGTATATTCTACCAATAATATAGATACCGAATTAACTCTTGTTACACAACTTTTTGTTAATGTAGAGATCAATCTTTTGAAATATAAGGTTTAAACTATAAATTAAAAAGGAAAATTCTTTAGGGAAAATTTCACGTTCTGAGCTCCCTACTTTTCAATTTTATAGCCCATATTTCAATTTACAACTAACTAGCCAAAAAATAATAGACTAAGATTCAACATCTAACTCCAATAGGTTTTCAAAATTACTATCTATTTAAAAAAAAGATTCTTCAAGCTTTTAAATTAATTTTCGAATCAGTAACTGTGACTCAAATATTAATTCAACAAACCAAATTCATTTGGGTGGTGAAAATTAGATTTTTAACAAACATAAATATGTGGGTTTAAATTTCGAATTTGATTTTGTGAGAAATTTGAAGTGAGTGTTATTTAGACTTGTTAGAAACAGTACAAGGAGGGTGTATATAAAATTTGAAGTCATTTAATGGAGATTTGGACTAGTTTTGAATAAGAATTGCAACTGAAAATCGTGGAAGACGTTCGTCTACAGACGCTTTTATAAAAGTGTATAAGGTGTGTTTCTACACTCATATACACTATTATACAAGATTATACATAATTATACAAAAAACTGGCTTCGTCTTCTTCCTTGCGTCTTTTCTGAAATTTAACTCAAATCTAGCTCAAATCTACTCCAAATCACTTCAAATTTAAATTTTGAACTCCTTTTGATATTTTCAATCAATTGGAATAACACCCGATCCAAACAACTAATAAATTCAAAAAACTCATTTTCAAAAGCAAAGCTTTAAATGGTCTTCAATGGTGGACTTCTACTCTTCAATTTTCTTACATTGCAAGCAGGTGACACAAGAGGAGAAGCAGAAAATACACGGTCCCTTGAAGCATATGTAGAAGATGTGAGAAGAAGAGAGAGTGAAAGCAATGGTTGTGAGAACATAGATTTAACTCCATAGCTTTTAGAAGCAATGATTGTAAGAACATAGATTTTGAATTTGCTAGTGCTTTCAAAATATGTACAATATGAACTAGGTAAGGTAAAACTTAAAAATATGGGCCATTTTTTGTTATGGTGTGAAGTCATGTGTTTTCTTGTAATTCTTTCAATTCTTTAAGCATTTTAGATGCCAGCAGAAAAATGTAAATAAAAAAGTATAACACGTAACATACCATTGCATAGGGAAGCTGATGATTCTTAAATTCGATAAAAGAAAAGCCTCGCTTGATATAGCACGTTCATTTGCTTTGGATAACTCGTGTGTTAATTATCTTTTCCAAAAAATATATTATCCATATTCTTATCTCCCTTTTCACAAATGTATCCTATAGAATAGTAGAGATAATTAAAACCTGCTGCTGACTGAGAATGCACATTGCTCAGAACATGGTATGGTAAGTTAATGTTTTATTTTTCTATCTTTTTGAAGGAAAATAAAAAACAGAGTTGAAATAAATTACGATTACTCATACAGGCAGATGCAACAAATATATGTTGCATGAGTTCAACTAAAACAAGCGCGCATATATATATATATATATATATATATAATCATAGTAGTAAACATTAAATTATGAACTCACAATTTTAAAATTCAGTGAAGTGATAGTTGATAAGAATATTTAAATGTTTGAATCCGCGTCCGATTACATCATCCATAATTTGCAGAGTCAAGATACTTTTTCTTAGACTATAACAGTTTTTGGCAATAATTTGTGAATATTACCATAACAAATCAAACGATTTACAACCTATGAGCAGCCAACTGTTCCAATCCACTAGGATCAGACTCTCTCAAGCTCTCAGAAAAAGCAAACAACAACAAAGAATTTAACTAATCTAATTACATATCCTCTGCATCAAAAATGGACAGTTTCTAGGTCTTCTAGATCCTGCTAGCATGCTAATCCTCTCCCTAAGTTCCTTCTTAATCTGTATTTCTATAAATGTTGTATTTACATTGATCTTCCTGAAATGCTTCCAATTTCGAGCTTGCCAAGTATAGTATATTGTCTCCCCTATGATTGCTGCTGCTACTTCTTTTCTGAATTGCCGCCAGTGCCTGTTTTTTATCCACTGCAAACTCCTGCTAACATTATATGATGAGATAGTTATTCCTGACCAATTGAGCAATGCTACTCTTATGTTCTGAATCCAGCTACACTCCACAAATAGATGGTGAGTTTCAAGTTCTCCACAATCACATAGTATGCAGTTTATGTCCCCATTGATAGGGATGTTCAACCTCAACAATCTTTCTTTAGTCATTAGCTTATCTTGAAATGCCAGCCAAGTAATCATTGACTATAATAGTTATTAAGTTAAAATATCTAACCATTTAATTTTATACGTAATTTACAGTATTTTTTTAATATTTAAATTTTTTATTACTAGCTCAAAAAATGAATCTTCTATATTATATCAAAAGCACGAAAACCTTTAGGGAAATATCGTTCGTTCTTTTTACCCTTTAAAAATAGCTTTTATAATGAACAAAATTATAATTTTAAGTTAGTTTCCTAATATTTAGGACTTTAAAATTAATTAAAATTTTGCATATTAAATCTTTTCTTATTAAAACGGATAAGAAATTCTAATAGTTAGGAATTTAAAGTCAATAAATATTGCACCTTATACAAATCGTACTAATTACAAATTTGAAAATATCATTTGTGCAATACTTATAAAACCAAGATGAGAACGATGGCGACTTCAATTGATTCGTAATTAAAATATTGAAGTATGGGGACATAAAACCACATATTAAATTAAAATTTTATAATACAGTAACATCTAAATTATAATTTTGCATGTTAAATCTTTTCTTATTAAAATAAGTAAAAAAATATATTTAGTATTTAAAATAAATAAATATATTACATTATAAAAATCGTACTAATTAAAAAATTTGAAAATACATTATTTGTGTAATACTTAAAAAAATCAAGATGAGAACGATGGTGACTTTAATTGATTTGTAATTAAAATATTGAAATATGGGGACATAAAATCAAATATTAAATTAGAATTATGTGATACAATAGCATTTAAATTAAAATTGTTTCAACGTGGAACAACTAAATATACATTTTAATAATTCTTTTTTTAATCATACAAAATAATTAATCCACATTCAATTAAGCATTTAAAATTATTATTTGATATCATATTTAATCATACTAAACTGTACAAATCTAAATTTATATTATAAAATTATAAAACCTCTACACAAAATGTTGATTGACCTTTTATCTTTTAAAAATTAATTTTAATATTAAATAAAAAATGTAGTGTAAATATTTCACTAATATCTAAGATTTAAAAATTAATTAAAAGTTTTCTTATTTGAACTATGTAGAAAGTTCAACTATTTAGGATTTTAAAATTAATTAAAGTTATGTGTTTTTACTGAAATTGAAAAGGAAGCACGATAACTTGGGAAATTAAACAGATAAAATTATAAAATTGGAACATAATTTAGGGTGAATATATTGAATAATGATTGAGGACTTTTATGAATTTTTTTTCTTTTATTTAATCAACTATATAGGATCAATATTCATCAATTTCAAAAGCTTACACTTTATTTTATAACTCAAATATAACTTTAAAAATAATATATAATTTTTTAATTATATATTTAAAAATTACATTTTACTACTAAGATGGGGATAACACGCAACATGCATACATAAATAAATAACTGAATTCAGAATAAAACCCGGTATTCGGGCCGAAGGAGGATTGTGTATTTATTTTTGCTCTATGTTGACCAGATTAATTAGGATTATGCATAGACCACGTATTTTGGGTCCATATAGACACGTTAGCCGTTTATTATAATGTCTCTCCACAGTTTTTTGCTGTCTGAGAAGCATCCTTGTCCAGCTTAACTTGTAACTCTCATATCTATTCCAATGTGGTAATCTTCTTGTCATCAGTTTCTCTCCTTAACTACTACAAATTACTTGTCTCCCTCTCTCGCTTAGCCTAGAATCCTACTACTTCTTTGACAATACGTACATGTTTCAGCTTCTGTTTTTTAGCATTCATACAATTGGAACCTCTGCAGTTTGAAGGTAATAAAGTTTTTTTTGGTACTGTTAATCTTTATGAATTTATTTTCAAAATATGCACGTGCGCCTGCCTTACTTACTGCTCCAACTATGTAAACACACACACACACACACACATATATATATATATATATATATATATATATATATATATATAGGAATTTAAATCATGAGTATGTGTTTGCATGCATGATCTTTATCCGGTTTATACTTTGGTTATATTAGCATTGCTAAAGTTGTCTTCTTTAATTAACATTGGTGTTTGATAAGATTAACTTACGTTGGTCTTTTCTTTTTTACTGGTTATATGTAGATAACATTATGGTTTTTGGCGCTATAGCGGGATTGGGTGTGACGGCCTTGCCAGGTTCTGATCAGGTCTTTGTAAATTTAACTCTCTTCGTCACACTTCTCTGTGGATGCATTGTGATTGGTCATCTTCTTGAAGAAAGCCGATGGATTAACGAGTCCATCACAGCTCTTGTTATCGTACGACTTCTTAAATTTTATGTTGTACCAAACACATTTACACATCTCTAACAGTTTATATATGTACTATCTGTGTTATCTCGTTTCGATATTAATGGATATCCATCCTTTCTTTTGGCTGCAGGGTTTATCTGCTGCAGGCATCACTCGACTAACTACTAATAGAAAGAGTCCTCATCTTTTAGAATTTGACGAACAGCTGTTCTTTGTTTATGTTATACCTGCCATTATATTCAATGCCGGGTAAGTTTTTCATCATAGGGTAATAGTGGTTTGTTACGTTATTATGGTGTTAATTTGGGCATTGTTGCATTATTTCATGAATCTTGCCAACCACATATTAGTAAAATTGAGTGCTCCGCTGAATTTTAAATTATTATGAACAACTATATATAACATTGGAAGGACAACATCACATTCTGCTAAGGGGTCATTGTGTTCTTCCTTGGGATTGATTTTTACTGTCTACATATCGAAGAGACAGAAATACTTTTAAACATTTTTTTCCTCTTGTGGCCGTGTAATCTATGATATAACTTAAATATGGAGGTGTTATTCATATACTAAGAGGGTCACCACCTTAACGACTGGCACTGTTATTGTGGTTAACTGGCAAAGAGAGAAGGGGGAAAAAGAAAGAGGAATGTTATATTTAGTTTATGATAACATAATCTTTTATCAGGTGTTTAATGTAATCTATGGAGTCTGATAAATCACTTTTTACCTTTACCAGTTTCCAGGTGAAAATGAAGCACTTTTTCAGGAATTTAGGGACCATTGTGCTGTTTGGTGTCCTTGGCACATTGATATCTTTCGGCGTCATATCATTTGGTATGCCCTGCTCCTTCAATCAGTTAAAGAAAGATAATGCCTAGCTAGTGTCCATAAGTTAATTTTCTGCGAATAATTTGCAACTATATGCTCTCTGAAGTGTAATGTGGTTACTTCAGTCTTGATTTTATTCTTGAGTTACTCTATGGTTATGTCTCTTAATTTCGCTTCAAAATCTTTACTTAGGTGCATGGTTGTTACTCGGGAAGCTGGGCACTGGTCTGGAGTTAAGGGATTATCTTGGTAATCTTTTCCTCTTCTCTCCGTCGATTGTTATGTGGTTATTGATTTGTTACAATGGAAAAGTAATGATATGTAAAAGCGGTTTCATAAATGGAAAAGTTAAAACATACAAATGATGTAGTTATTAGAAGGAAAAGCATACAATTGGTGTCCTGGTTTCTTTCTCACATCTTCTGATGGTTATTAAAATTCTTTTACTGCAGCGATTGGAGCTATATTTTCGGCAACAGACTCTGTTTGCACATTGCAGGTTTTCTCCTAGAACTGCAATTTAATTCCGTAGATAAAAACAGATTACTGAAATAGCAAGCCGTGTTTTCTACAGGTGCTTGATCAGGATGAGACACCTCTTCTCTACAGCCTAGTCTTTGGAGAAGGTGTGGTAAATGATGCTACATCAGTGGTGCTTTTTAACGCAATCCAGAAATTCGACCTCTCAAACATCAACTCACGAGTGGCCTTATCGCTTACTCTAACTTTTCTCTACCGATTTGTGGGAAGCACTTTGCTCGGAGTAGTTGTGAGTCAGCCAGCCTTTTTCGCATTATGTTTTACATTAGTGCATTAGTCAATTTTTGCCTATCTTTTCGACACAATTCGAGTTGGGAAACAGATTTTTCTTCTGGATAAGACTCAACATCTTACATTACTTGGTTTGATCTGGAAGGACTTGTATATATTAGCAAGAAGCTGACACGCATGATCAGATTTTGTTAATGATCCGCCTATTTATAGGCTTTATCAATATCTCATACATGTCTGATATTATGCTCTTCTTATGCAGGTTGGATTGCTAAGTGCATACATAATAAAAAAGATATACCTTGGGAGGAGGTGTGTATAAATTTCTTCATGGTCTTCGTATTATGGTTATTGGTTCAGATATAGTTATTCTTTGATGTTTATCAGTCACATCCCAGTTAATATCAATACACAAACTTTAGCAATCAGAAAGATTGTTTGGTTTCCACTTCCCAGTAGAGTATTCTTCATTTGTAATTCAATAAGCCTCAATTCTGATGGCAGGAAGTCAACCGATCGTGAAGTTGCTCTCATGATTCTCATGGCTTACCTTTCATATGTTATGGCAGAAGTAAGTAAACATTAACTGCATGAGTTTTATATCAACTTATTGTTAGCTCTCACTGTTTGTAGTTTCTATGATTATTGATCTTGATAAATGTTAATAATCATGCCAACCTTTCAGCTGTTTGATTTGAATGGAATTCTTACAGTATTTGTCTGTGGGATAGTCATGTCACACTATACCTGGCATAATGTGACCGATAATTCAAAAGTGACCACAAGGTACGTCAAACATTCGGACTTCACAAATCTCTTTCTCAGTTGAAATCAAATTATTTTCTTCTTGTAAGAACATGTTAAAGTAGCCATATTGTCATTCCTAAATTAACTTAACTTTTCACAGGCATGCTTTTGCAACAATGTCATTTATTGCGGAGACTTTCATTTTCCTTTATGTTGGTATGGATGCCTTAGATATCGAGAAATGGAGATTCGCTAGCCACAGGTGAGATTGAAATCTATTTCATTTAAAACATAAGATCGAGTTTGGCCCTAGGCAAATTTAGTGTCAATGATTATGTTTGTGACGCTCATACAGTAGTTAAAAAGCTCTACTTATTTGCTTTGCCTTTTGATTTTGGACTTGTTTCCACAGTCCTGGAAAATCTGTTGCAGTGAGTGGTGTGCTGCTTGCTCTGGTTATGGTTGGAAGAGCGTGCTTTGTGATACCTTTGGCCATTTTATCAAATTCTTGGAAGCAATCTAAGGATCACGAGCTCGGCTTCAAGCACCAGGTTTATTGACTTTGTCAAAGTTTCGTGCTGCTACTCCATTGTTACGGAAAAACTTAATAATTCATCTTCACAGGTTACAATATGGTGGGCTGGTTTGATGCGAGGAGCTGTTTCAATGGCATTGGCTTATAACCAGGTAGATAATTGAACTCTCTTCTCATTACTCTCAAAGATGAAAAATGAGAAACATGAGGGAGGAGTACTTTATCTGAATATCTTGTTAGTAATTGATAAAAATAATGTTACTGATTGAAGCCTGGGTTGTTGTTTGTAGTTTACAAGGTTTGGCCACACACAATTGCCAGGAAATGCAGTCATGATCACCAGCACTATTACAATTGTCCTCTTCAGTACTGTGGTAATTAAACTACATCACTCCTTTGCTACCTATGTTTTTTAGTTACCTTTCATTACATAAATCCACAAACATCTTTTTGGTTTTTGCATATCAGCAGTGGCGGAGCCATCTTATGCTAAAGGGCGTTAATTGACACTGTTTAACTAGGTCAAAAATTTATTTTTTATGTATATATACTATATGTTGACTCTCACTTATTTTACTTTTTTATATTTTGGCACCCCTTAGTAAAATTTCTGACTCCGCCACTGCATATCAGTTGTGAAGTAATTGAGTCCATTGATTGCTAAGAGTCATCAGTAATGAGCTAATAGTAGTTTGAGTAGACTCTCCCACCTGATATACTAGTAGTGCTGTTTAGTCTATATATTGTCAATATTTGTAGTGATCTTTTTTCTTTTGGGACCTCTTTAGGTGTTTGGGTTGATAACAAAGCCTCTGATAAGGTACTTGCTCCCTCCATCAAAAGATATCAACATGAGTACTACTTCTGAACTATCCCTCGGACTCCCACTTCTCAACGGGCTAGAACATGAAGGTGATGTTCCTCGGACAAGCAGTTTGACAATGTTATTGAAAAGACCTGCACAAACCATTATTTACTTTTGGAGTAAGTTTGATGATGCTTTTATGCGACGCGTGTTTGGAGGGAGGGACTCCATGCCAGATACACCAGTGTCTTCAAATGAAGGAAGTGATCACGGTTCACTATTTGGAAGTAATCCTAGCTTACGTCTCGTTTAGAAAACAGTTTGCAAGTGATAGATTTTTTATTTTTTTGGGAAACAGGATAGGTTTCTGGAGTTGCCGGTTTTGCTATCAACTAACCATCAATAGTTGCAAGGATGCCTTCTGTATATATTCATGAATTACACTAGGCTGACTTGTTTGTAAATATTCAGATATTAATCTCTAATTCTGCTGATTTTGCTAAGCTTGTACATATATCTCTGTTTCTATTTTTCAAATGGAGTATATTTCTTGGTTTGGACTTATTTCTTCTCGAGGCAGCCCGTTTACATGCTATTTCCAAATGGAATGTGATAGGCTTGGGTCGTTTTCCTTTTTCTTCTAACCCCGCTGAACCCTGGATGATCAATTGCGTGATTCGAACCTTTGACCTATCCGTTGGTGGTGAAGGTGCTCTACTGTCACATAGGCGGATCCAGGATTTAATGTTTATGGGTTCGTGCAATGACTTCGAGTAAATTTTCAATAGTAACTGGGTTCACATTTAAATATTTGTAGTTATTTAATGAATTTTTAGAACACATTTACACTGTTTGGACAAAAGCTATTGGGTTCACGGGAACCCGTAGATAACATGCTAGATCCGCCCTTGTCTACTGATCAACTTTAGCTGGAGCAAATCTCACTCGTGATGCCTAGGTTATTTGATATAGTATAGCTGTGTTCTATACGATTGTTTTCTTCTAGTTGGACTTTATGATGATATCTTTGGATTATGGTAATATAAGTTCGAACTGAGGAGCTACGTCGCAGAGACCCTTTAACTAACATATGCTACAAGTAATAAATAACTCATCTCGTGCTTGACTCTATCTGTAAGACAGGTGTGTGTAACCAACCACCTAGTGAGGAGAGGAGACAAAACTAGAGAAGAACTCTTATGTACAATAAGCATTGGCTCTTCTCTTCCTAAACTCTTCACTGTATATACAGCCTCATCAACACATGACCTTCTTCATTAAAAATGTTCTCTTTTGCCGGAAAGAAAGTTGAGATTGGCCGATCTAAGTATTGAGACATAGCAATCAATATCCTTTTGATACTCACTGTCACTGCTCTCTCCGAATCACTAGAGAGTGAATCCTAATTAAACATAATAAATTCTAAATTTAAAATTGAAAAATATTAATGGGATGAGACTGTGTACAAGAACAATAAATATCAAGTATATAACCAAATGATTGTCAACGAATAAAGAAGCATGCAATAAATGTAGGTCTTATTACCCAAATGTTAGATGACTTGGACGATTTTATTCCCTGACAACAACGTGGGGTGGTAGGAAATGAAGATGCGTAAGGAATCTTTGGATCTTGTGAATGAACAACATAAATCGAACAATGTAATCAATGAACAAGCTTTTGTATATTCTCTTTAGTCAACTCTTTATAATGTGCTCTTATCAAAAAGTGAAGATCCTTTTTTTTGTTCTTTATCTCTTTCTATTTATAGGGGATATCCCCGAGAAACCCTAAAAAAGTAAAACTGAAAGAATATTCAATAGAATATTCCTTCTTTCTATTCTAACTTATCCTACCGTTACTTTCATACGCCCGTTGCTCGACCTCGGTGCTAATTTCTCTTAAGACGACTCCTCGCCCTTATGCCGTGGTCGGTTTAATCCTCGACCACGTCCATTTATAGCTATTAAGTCTAATCCAAATTTTGACCAATACAGTTAGTCCCTCCACTTGTTGAGGTCGTGATCTTGGACATCCTCGATGAGCGGCTCTTGTCTGCAGCCGTTTAGACGAAATTTGGTCGTAACGATTGAATCGAATCAACCGAGGTCGAACTGGAGGCGGGGCTGCGGTTGGTGTGGCTATCGTAGGATGACATCATGCCACGCGCGTCATTATTACGCGTCTTCCTAATAAAGTGTATCTGCTTTTGTCGCTTCGGTTTTGGTGCCATTGACGACTCTTCTACCTTGATTCCGGTGTTACCCAACCCTATAAGTAGATGAGGGGTTTCGTTTTTGAAACTTTCAGCATCCCCCTTGTTGCATTCATATCTTTTTTCTTTGATCTTCTTCTTGGATCTCCACTTCCGATTTCTTGCAATTTCTTCAATATCAGTCCCCTATTTCTTTTCCGGTTGACATCTTTTTTCTCCGACTTTGCTATATACCCTTTACTACTGAAATATGTCAAATTCCCCTTGCATTAACGATAGACTCACCGATGCCACTCCTTTATCGATGGCCATTCCTCTCGGTGGTGAGGAATCTGTAGTTAAGGAGGAAGATAGTTTTCCCACCGTGGAGGAGGTGCTTCCCAAGAATCTTTTGGTCAGACACAATTTCCCAAAGGAACCTTCTCCGCCTCAAGAGCTTTCTGAGATGGGGCTGCATCAAATAGCTGACCTCCGGTCCAAGTACTGTATTCCCTCTTACGTCGAGATTATCCCGGTGAGAGATGATATAGTACAAGTTCACCGACTTGGATATTATGCTTTCTATGTTTAACCGTTCTTAGTCGGTTATTCTCTTCCTCTCCCCCATTAGCGGAGGCGTTTTGCCTCTTTTACAATATTTACCCGGCGCAGTTCTCCCCTTATTTATACAAAGCTTTTCTGATGTGCAAAGTATGCAGAGTTGGTCGGCTGTGAGCTCAATATTTGCCATCTGCTGCATCTATTCTCGCCCAACTTTTATAGAGCCATGTTGATACATCTGCGACATCGTGGGGTCAAGGGGTTGGTGGCGGGGATGGATGATAAGATGAACCGGCGATTCTGGCATAAATACTTATTCATCAAGACCGAGCACCTGGTGGCGAATCCGATCGGGTTCCCCGAGCAATGGAATTATAATCGTAAGCGTCATGTCGTATGTTTGTTATTTTCTTTCTTTCTCTTTTGTTTTTGAATATCATGGCTTCCTTGTTTTCAGCTGAGAGGCGTGCACCTTCTCCCATCTTCGATATTGAAGATTGGGTGACTCGCGTATTACCCCACACTGTGGGAATTCGCGATTGGGCCTTCTTTCACAAGCGCTTTGGACCCAAGACTCAGTCCAGTAAGTGTTATTTCTTCCTTAACTTATTGCCGTTCATTATTGCCTTTTGACGCGACCTTCTTTTGGTGCTAGGTCGGTGAGTTTCCAAAAAGGCAAAGGCTCCAGTACCTATATTTGCCAGGCCATCACGTCGGCTGGAATGCAGTTCGCTTTAGCTAAGTCTGCTCGAGGAGGTCGGGCTCAAGTTACACCAATGAGGGACTCCGCCCCTCAAACTGTTGCTATGCCGGATGAGATCTCTTCTCAGCCTATCTTCCACCTTGTGGACGAGCCGTCTTGCAGCAAGGAGGCATCACCAAGGAAAAGGTGAAGGGTGGAGACCGCAAAAGCCATTATTGCCGATGTTGGGCCAGTAAGATCCATTGCTTTGGAATCGGGATCAGTGTTTACACCAAAGTTCGAGGCTATTTCCGCGGTGGGTAATGCCATGGAGAAGAGGCCCTATGAGGTTGAGGGGGTTCGTGGTGGCGGAGATCTCACGCGGGCTGTTGAGGGTGCCTCATTGTCGGCGACTAAGGGAGGTAGAGCTATCCCTGCGGAGGACGATGACTCTGGCTTACACATCGACCCTGAGGAGATACAGACCATCGTGGGGAGGGCTACTCGTATGGAGATAAGGACGGAGGGTCCTAATCGGCATATAGTCATTCCCGTGGAATACAACCTCTTTGCCAATTCAGAACGGGCGGTGCTGACCTTTCCTCCCCTATGCATGGCTTCCGAGAACACGACACTACATACGATAAAAAAGATGACCTGTCGTTGGGTATATCTGGCATGGCCCTGCGAGTGAGTGCTTTTTTATGTTAGATTAAGTTTGTTTCGTATGTGTTACACTAACCTCTTTTTTTTTTTGCATGTCAGACTCTTATTATGGGGATTAAGCGCGATCGGCGGGAGGAGCGGATGACAACCATTTTAAGAAGATGACCTCCAAGTACAAAGAGTACCGTACCAAGCACCGAACGCTAGCCGACTTTCTCATCCAGGATGGTGAGTTTCAGTCGCTTTGTGATGGGCTCAAACAGAAGGATGATGAGCTGATGAAGAAGGACGAAGAGCTGAGAGAGAGAGACAATGAGCTCATGAGGGCCATCAGTAGGTGCAGCGAGCTTGAGGAGGCGCTAAAGGCCAAGGAGGCCGAGTTCGAGATGAGTAAAGGGGTGATGGCTGAAAATGCCGGCCTTCAAGTGCAGGTGGCGTCTTTAACGGTTAAACTCGGCCAGAGGGAGGCAAGGGCTGTCGATTTGAGGGATGAGCTGATTTCCAAGATCGAAGACTCGGGTCGGGCTGAGAAAGGCAGAATGGCTGTTGTGGCTGAAGCGGAGGCCCTAGATAACACTCTCCATGTTTGCAGGTCAAGCGGACTAATGAGGCGGAGACGTCGGTGCTCAAGGTGGAGAGGTTGGAGGAGCGGATCATGGGTTTGGAGGCAGAGCTGTGTGAATTAAATGAGCAAGTCGTTTCCCTGAGGGCCGAAAAGATACATCAGCAGACACAATCGTCTACATCTCGTACTTCTGCCGATACCGACGTGTCGCAGGAGTTGTACGAAATGTGGGTCCATGCCGAGGCTCAACTTGACATGTACAAATCTTTGCAGGTTACCGGGAAGGTCTCCTAGGCGGAGCTTGAGGGCATCCGTGTCAAGGCGCGTGCCACTCGTGAAACTTGTAGTTATGACCCTACTACATCCGACTGGGATGATGATGAGGATGTCGCAGATGGGCTTGCCTCCGATCCTTGGTTTGATGACGAGTATGCTGGTGGGGACGATGTGAAGTGAAGCTTTTGTACTTAGTTTTTTTTGGCTTTGCTATTTTTTGTGGGGGCATTCTCGAGCCCTTTGTAAAAAGTTGTAACTCGACAATTGAGATGGAATGATTACCTTTTTGTTATGTATTTCTGGATTCCCGTTCTCTCTTTTATTTTATTTTTTGCTATGCGGGGAAGTCCCTGAATATTTGGCCATTTG